TTTATTAATTGTCCAAATGTACCATTCTAATGTAAGATGTTAATAAGAGGGGGAACTAAAACTATTCTGAAAAATAAAAAAATAGTAATTTTTTTTATTTCAAAAAATCAGGCACAGATGATAGAAATTCTTATTTTCTCCTTCTGTTTTCTTAAATGACGGGAAAGACTTCCGTAAAACAACGATATGTTTGGAATAAATATCTGCATTTATCTTTACAAAAGCCATTTGTAGGGGTATCTGTGTAGTGAGTAAACCCAGAGTAGCCAGGTATCCCCTCATGTACTAGGTCCCTGACCTGGGCCAGGCTCCATCCTGAGCATGATGGGTGAAGGTCCCCATCCCCAGGGCTAGATACAGAGGGGCTTTCTGTAATTTTTTCTCGCCATTAATTAGGAAAATTGAAAACCTGGAATATTGAGGAATGTAGGCATAAACCATGTATATCTGAAGACCTAAAATGATTTGGGCAGCTTAATTACATTTGGACACTGTAAGACCTTGATAATATGGACTGTTTTTAAAATCACTGTGCTTCTTGTTTTAGTCTTGTGTGGTTTTAGAATTAGGCAGAGGATTGTGAATAATAAAGTGGTAAGGAAGAAGGTCAGGTATTGATTAGTGTAGCTGAATTCATTAGTAAGAACCAAGGAAGCTCCTGGCATTTACGTTATGATATATTTATGAAATAGATATTTAAGTTATAACAGTCACAATTACTTTTGTGGGGAAAAAAATAGCAAAGCCCAATAAACTCTTAGAAATGGTGACCGATGGCTATTTGTCTACTTTGAGAGCAGTGGGTGTACATCGTGAAAACACTTCACACTCTCGTGGCATTGGAAAGGAGGGCCAAATTTTGCCAGAGATCAGTGTCCATTTTCACAGACGAGCGTTTTTCTTTTCTTCTTTTTTTAATTTCAGCTTTATTGAGGTATAACTGGCTAATAAAATTGGAAGGTACTTAAAGTGTACATCATGGTGCTATCATTTTCCATATATGTTGTGAAAGGATTCTCCCCACCTAGATGTTAATTAAAACATCCATCACCTCACATATTTCGTTCTTTTTTTGGTGAGAACATTTAAGTTCTCTCTTAGCCAATTTCACTTATGCAACACAGTGTTACCAACTGTAGTCACTGTGCTCTACGGGAGATGTCAGACCTTATTCATCTTCGAGCCGTAAAAGCTTGTATCCTTTTTACCTAAACCTAATCCTCCCTGTTTCTTCCACCTTCCCAGCTACTGGCAACCACTTTCGGGCTCTACTTCTACAAGTTTACCTTTTGGGGGTGGGGGTATTTTTCCATTGCTCTCCTTTGTCTCTTGACCCCGTTACTGTGATGTCTTCCAGGCCGATGGAAGACCGTGTTGGTTCCGAGTCCATGTGTTTTACAATTAATGCTGTATAATGAAATTGGCTTGTTACGTTGACAGTGAGTCTCCAAAATGGTGGTACTTGGGCTAAATTAACGTTCATAACCTTCTTCTCAGTGTGCTGAGTGTCTAAGATGCTCATGAAGAAACTGACAGAGGTTAGCAAAGGTTAGCAAAATGGATACTCCCAGGGCCTGAGTGGTAAATTATGTATAAAAAGAGTAAAAAAAAAAAATAGCATTTCCCAGTTTCTGTTGCAGCAACAGAACTCCCAATTCTGTTTCTTTTGTCAAATTTCCTAGGCACTAATGACTCATATTGACTTATTAGTCTAGTGTTTGGAATTCTGGTTGTGTCAGGGATTTCACATAGTAAAATTAGTTGCTTGGTGACAAACTTCTGCAAACTCACATTTGAAGATATTTTTGTTAATATGGCTCAGTTTGGGAGATGATCTGATCCTGAGAGTAAGGATAAATTAGCAGTATTCACTTAAAAAGAAAGAAAAAAAAGACGGGGATGGGGTATAGCAGAAAATCCGAGCTTTATTATAAAGTATAAAACTTTTTTTCTTGAGAATTGCCATCCACTAATAAATCCTGTTCAGGATCCAGTAAAAAGAAAGTTCACTTAAGAAATTATTTGTGCCTCGCATCCAGTATGATGGCTGCTATCAAAAACAAAACAAAATTGGGGCACCTGGGTAGCTCAGTTGGTTAAGCATCTGACTTCGGTTCAGGTCACGATCTTGCGGTTGGTGAGTTGGAGCCCCGTGTCTGGCTCTGTGCTGACAGCTCAGAGCCTGGAGCCTGCTTTGGATTCTGTGCCTCCCTCTCTCTCTGCCCCTCCCTGGCTCATACTCTGTCTCTGTGTCTCTCAAAAATAAGTAAACATTAAAAACAACAGCAACAAAACAAAACAAAAAAAACAAAATAACAAACATTGGTGAGGATGTGGAGAAATTGGAACTCTTGTTCACTGCTGGTGGGAATGTAAAATGGTACAGCCATTACAGAAAATAGTTTGGAGGTTCCTCAAAAAATAAAAATGGAATGATCACATGACCCCATCCCTTTGGGATATATGCCCCAAAGAATTAAAAGCTGAGTCTCAAAGAAATAGTCGCACGTTCACATTCATAGCAGTGCTACTCATAATAATCCAGAGGTGGAAGTAAGCCATGTGTCCATCGATGGATGGGTGGATGGATAAACAAAATGCGGTATAATACCTATGGTGAAATATTTTTTAAGCTTACAAAGGAGGGAAATTCTGACACCTGCCATAAGGTAGAGGAACCTTGAGGACTTTATACTGAGTGAAATAAGCCAGACACAAAAGGACAGACGTTGTATGATCCCACTTACGTGAGGTCCCTAGAATCGTCACAATCATAGAGCTAGAAGGTGGAGTGGTGGTTGCCAGGGGAGGGGGATGGGAAATTAGTGCATAATGGCAACCTGGTTGCAGTCTGAGAAGATGAAAAAGCTCTGGAGATCGAGGCTGAACGATGTAAATGTACTTAATGCCACTGGACCTGTACACTTAAAATTAGTAGAAATGGTTAAATTTCATGTTATGTGTGTTTTGCCACAGTTTAAAAAATAAATCGTATGGCATATTGTGTGCTTGAGCTTCTACTAATACTGTAATCAGTCTTTAAAAAGGTGATAAATGCCGCTCTGGGTCAATGAGGCTAGGTGCAGTGGGCAGGTGGAAATGCCGGTGTGATGCAGAGCTGCCCTCGGAGACATAGACACCAGGGAGCAAGAGCCCTGGAACCATCAGTGCAAAGTGAGCTCGCTTGCAGAGCCCCAGGGGTTGGGGAGGGGCCAGGAGCACCAGGAAGCAGCAGGCAGCAGCGGAGGAGGAAAAAAAGCCAGCCACCTTCCATCTTGGACGTTTAGGAATCCCTTTTCACTGGTTCCCTTCAGTAACATCAACAAATGCTTTATGTTTTCGAAATAACTTGGCTACACTTACTTGCCTATAAAATGTATTGTGGTTGAGTGCCATGGACACGTGACAATTCTCTCTTGGCTGAATACAAGCAGATATCATTCAGATTAGCCACAGCAGGAGCTGGGTGCCCCCAAGATCTGTTGGGACCTCCTTGTAAAACTTCCAGCATAGGATTGATGGTGCTCTGGCATCCCAATTTGATGACACTACCTTAGAGCGCTGGTCTTACGGTTATTTTAAATTCCCTCATGCCACTCTTTTTAAATGGCACTGTCATAATCTAGGGCAACGTGTTTTTTGAATCCCTGTAAACAAGCTACATTCGAGTCTACTGAGTCTTGTGATTTGGCATCTCATGATGTAGGGGGAACCAGAATGTCTAACGATTATCCGGCATGAACCAGGTAGTGGGTACTTCCTGTGGATCATTTGATTTCAGCCTCACAGAAGCTCCGACCCCATCTTCAAACACAGCAATGGAGGTCAGAGAAGTTAGGCAACTTCCCCCACGGTCACCTGCCGGGTTGGTGCTGAAACTGGATTTTAAACCCAGCCTTCCCCAACTGGAGAGGAACAATCACAAAGGAAACCTTCACACATACAAAGATGTAGAGACTTTGCAGGCTTTGACTGTCATCCAATACAATTAGGAAACAAATCCTAAAAAAGACCCTCTCCAAAATAAGCCATGGAGTGAAAGCCACCAGGCTCTTACTGCCTTGGAAGTCTGTGCCCTGTCCTGTTCAGCCACGCTTAGCAGGAGCAGCTGCAGGGAGGTGGCCATCCGCTTGGGGTGACAACAGTATATACCCATGGGCCTGCTCCTGCACCACGGGAGGAACTGAACTCTTCAACTTTGTGTTTTGGAATCGGGAAACTTCCCTTGCAGCTGGTCTAGCCTTCCTGTACCCCTCCTCCAATAGGATGTTAAAAAGCCAACAAGGCCTTCCCAGATCACACCTGGAAGACTGGGAACTACTGTCTCTTCTCTCATCTCATTCTCATTTACGTCCATCAAAAAGAAATTGAAATTCGTGTCTTGCTTATTCGTATCTGCCTTGCCCTAGGGATTTCTTTCTTCAGCCATGCTGCAAAATTCTACCGGGGAACACTCCCGGGTCGTAGAGGATCATGGCTATAAAGCCTGAGCTTTGTGATGAGACCATTCTAGGCACTTGGAATCCCCATGCAGGCCCTTTATAGCTTTGTGGATTTGGACAAGCTATTTAATTATGCTCCAGGTTTATCGTTCCTTGCCTATATCTGTAGATAACTTCAGTTTCCGAAGATTGTCGTAAACATTTGATGAGCTAGCACATCTGAAACAGTGTCGTGCGTGTACAAGGTGAATGTCGTTGCTCGGGTACACCTGTGCACCCCTTAGCCACTCCGTTGGCATCCTGTACCCCTCCACCTCTGTGGAAAAACAGTGTGGAGAGCCTAGCGCTATTGTTTATTTTCTCTTTTACATGTAGTGTATTTTTGTGCCTTAGGGAAGTAGTAAGACCTTGACTCTTGTCACGGCTTAATTAACTTACTGAGAGTTGGAACGGCCAGCGGATTCCATATTGTGTCCTACTTAAAGTTGAAGTGTATTAGCTGTAATTAGTGATCCTGCTTGTAAAAAGCCACCAACTGGTCTTTCTGTTCCCCCACAGGATACCACAGGTTTCTGCCAACTCCTGTCAAATTAGTGGGCATCTGGCAAGTCTTACTTACAGCACAATTTGAAACTTTAGTAAGGAAGTTATAAGGTATTTCACTTGTTTCTGGGACTGCTTCTTTGGGTGGATCTCCTTAATATGAATGTACTGTTTAAAAATATTTGCCAATACACACCGAGGGAGGAAAACATTGTAATAAATGAGGGAATACATAGAAGGTTTTGCCATTTTGGGCTGACCTTGCTAAGGTCACTACATGGGCTTTCCTTTTTTTTTTTTTTTTTTTAGATATTTGTTTGTATGTTTGTTTGTTTCTTTTTAGAGAGAGAGGGAGAGAGAGAATCCCAAGCAGTCTCCAAACTGTCAACATGGGGCCTGAACTCACACACCGTGAGATCGTGACCTGAGCCAAAACCAGGAGTTGGACTTTTCACTGAGTGAGCCACCCAAGCGTCCCTGCATGGGTTTTTCTGTTGGCTGCTAAAGCAACTCACCACAAAGGCAGCCCAATTTTATCCTCTTAACAGTTCTGGAGGTCAGAAGTCCAAAAACCCAGGCTCACAAGGCTAAAATCAGGGTTTCCACAAGGCTGCATTCCTTCTGGGGGCTCTAGAGGAGAATCTGTTCCTTGTTTTTCCCCCTACTTTCTAGAGGTATCCTTATCCCTTGGCTAGTCGTACCTTCCCGTCTTCAAATGAACCACATTTCTGACCCTTCTGCCTCCCTCTCCTGCTGATACAAGGACGTTCGAGATTGCGTTGGACCCACCTGGCTAATCCAGGATAATCTCCCCCTCTCAAAATGAGCTGATGAGCAACCTTAATTACCCTCTGCCATGCAATCTAATACATTCACAGGTTTGCAGGCATTTGGATGCAGACACCTTTGGTGGCTGGGGAGGGGGGTGTGGGGGCTATTATCCTTCTTTCCTCATCAGCCAAAAGCCTATATTTGAGTGAGTTTCCATACTCATTTCTTGACTGCATTGAAGGAATGAAATATTACAAAGGAAAAAAAGTCGTTTAGAACCACAGTGAAATAGATCATTTTATTCAAGTAATTCAGACTATATGTTGAAAAATCAAGGTAGGGAGGGCAACAATTCTTTTCCTGTAGTCTTTTCTTTCAAGATTACTCTCTAAACCAATTATTCGCTCACAGACACGTATACTTTGATATGTCTATATCCACAAGTGCATGTATGTATTTTTCTGAAACTCCAAGTTAATATTCTGGGGGTAAAAAGTTACACCTTTTTGGTCTATTTAGCTGTCTACATATTTTGACTTAAGTTCAAGAAATCCTATTCGTCCATGTCAGGTTTATATTGCAAAGTGGGATTGGCAGTTTCTCAGAGCTCTGTGACCCTGGTGTTTTCTGCAGTGGGCTAAATTGCTTTGTTGGTAGAAGGGTAAATGAAGCACATGTCTGGTAATCTTGAATCATCAGTCTACCTTATCCTTGAGCTTCCCATCAAACCAGGCGGCTAAAGCCTAAACAGCCACTGTCACACAATGAGGTCTCCCAGACAGTAAATACAAAAACAGGTAACCTCAGGTGGTGCAATTCAGAAGAAGCAATGTTGTCCACTCGACCTCTGGAGAGGCGAGGCTGGACAGTGATACTGCCTTAGATGGGGAGGCCAGGGGAGGTGTCTCTGAAAAGGAACTCCATGTACCTAGGGCTTAAATCACAAGAGAACAGACACCGGGGTCTGTCTTGCTCAGCAAGGAACCCTGGTGCTTTGGAAGGCTGTCTGCTGCATAGTAAGTGCTTAGTAAATCCTGACTGAATGAAGGAAAGGATCACTAGAACATAGTCCCCCCTTACCTTTGTACAGTGTGCTGCAGTATACAGAGGGATTTAATTAGGACTGTAATTCTCATTCTTTTTTTTTTTTTTGAAGTATAATTGACATACAATGTTATGTTAGTTTCAAGGATACAATGTATTAATTCGACAGTTCTGTACATTAATTACCCAGGGCTCAACCACGAGTAAGAGTAGTCACCATCTGTCACCATAAAACAGTCTTAGAATATTATTGACTATATTTCTATGCTGTACTTATCCATGACTTGTTTATTTTATCATTGAAAGTTTGCACTGCTTAATCCCCTTAATCTATTTTGTCCATTCCCCCGCTGACCTCCTCTCTGGCAACCACCAGTTTGATCTCCGTATTCACGAGTCTGCTTTTTGGTTTGTTTGTTTTGTTTTATAGAGTCCACACACACGTGAAATCATATGGTATTTGTCTTTCCCTGTCTGACTTATTTCACTTAGCATAATAATCCCTAAGTCCATCCAGGTTGTCACAAATGGCAGGATCTCATCCTTTTTTATGGTTGAGTGATAGTCTGTTGTATATAAATTCACCTCTTCTTTATCCTGTAGCTCTTGTTCTGGAGTCTTTTTTTTTTTTTTTTAATGTTTATTTATTTTTGAGAGAGAGAGAGAGGGAGACACAGAATCCGAAGCAGGCTCCAGGCTCCGAGCCGACAGCACAGAGCTGGATACGGGGCTGGAACTCACGGACTGTGAGATCGTGACCTGAGCCAAAGTGGGACACTTAACCGGCTGAGCCACCCAGACACCCCATGAGTCTTTCCTGTGCTGGGCAGTGTGCTTAGGGCTTTCTTCAAGAGCTCCCAAGTGAGGTGCTGTTATACGAGAGGCAGCTAGGCTAATATGGCATCGCAGGACTCCAATCGATGTCCATACGACACCAAGCCTCACTCTCTTAAACGCTACATTATCATGCTTCTCCTGAGCATCGAAAGCATCTTACGAGGCTAGGCAAATATTGTTATTTCCATTTTACAGAACAAGCTAGTCTAAGGTGGGCCTACGAATGGTTTAGCTAAGCTTAGAATCCTTGGCCCTTGACTCGTGTCTTCTATTTGCCATTATGACTGAGTGATTCAGCTTGGTCCCAGAGACCTCTTCGGAAACAGCTATGGTCATTTTGGGGTGTTTTAGGAACAGGGGCTGTTTTGAGGAGCACATAACCCAGCCGTAACCCAGCAAGATGCAGTTAACAGGATCATTTTTAAAAAGAAAATAGGGCCCTGGGATAGGATCGGCGTTATTTTAGGAATTAGTGAAAAGTTTTGAGCCAAGAAAGTTTTTATAGCTATTCTAGGCTTTTTCTTTTCTTTTTTTTTTTTTAATCTTCTCCCACCTAAAACTTGAAACAGCAGCTTCCCATTTGTTAGATTCTCTGAGGGTTTCTTTTATTCAGTATGACAGGAGATTCTTGCTAAGCTCTATTCTAGAGCGGCCACCTGACATTTAAGATAGGATCTGGCTGTATAATAGCAAATATGTGGCTCTCATTTCTGTTGGCTGGACCTGCATGATAACTTAATTAGCTATAGTTAACAAAGGCAAAAATGAGATTTTTCTGAACTGCCTAAGCTGGAGTGATAAACGTGCTTTAGTCTTTGGATCTCACCTCTGTGATTCATAGACTACATCTAAATACTATCTCTGACCGAACAATCAGCAGTCAGAGTGTACTTTTTCAGACTTCCTTCTGTTCAGGCTTTTCCATATTAGAAAATTAAGTCAGTGTGTACGTCCAGTTTTATTATGGAATAATCTTGATTTAACTGCGTCTCTTCCTATTCCAATATGTCCTACATGCTGTAGCAACTTACCCTTAACTGAAACTAACATGCTCCTCTTGGACCCCTGATAAAAAGGGGTGGATTCTGAACTCCTGGCCAGTATGCAGTTTCCTCTAGAATGGGCCTCCAGCTGGCCTTTTCAACCTGTGTTGGCAAAGAGAAAGGAGATCAAACATCTCTTGGGATACAGGGTGATGTGCAGGGTGAGGGAAGGGTACTGAACTCCACGTTGAAATGGCTTAAAACAACAAACAAACAAACAAACAAACAAACAAACAAAAACAGAAGACACCCAAAGGAACACTGTTTGCTATTGGTGGGAATGCAAACTGGTGTAGCCACTGTGGAAAGCAGTATGGAGGTTCCTCAAAAAGTTAAAATTAGAACTACCCTAGGATCCAGCAATCACACTGCTGGGTATTTATCCAAAGAGTACAAAAATACTAATTCAGAGGGATACATGCACTCCTACGTTTATAGCAGCATTACTTACAATAGCCAAACTGTGGAAGCAGCCCAAGTGCCCATCGATTGATGAAGAGATAAAGAGGTGGTGTGTGTGTATATATATATATATATACACACACACACATATATGTATATATATATACATATATGTGTGTGTGTGTACACACACACACACACACACAGTGGACTATTTCTCAGCCAGAAAAAACGAATGAAATCTTGCCATTTGCAATGACATGGATGACGCTAGAGAGTATTATGCTAAGGGAAATTAAGTCAGAGAAAGACAAATACCATATGATTTCACAAACAAGCAAGGGAAAAGAGAGAGAAACTAAGAAACAGACTCTTAACTGTAGAGAAGAAACAGATGGTTGCCAGAGGGGAGGTGGGTGGGAATGGATGAAATAGGTGATGGGGATGAAGGAGGGCACTTGTGATGAGCACCGGGTGATGGAAGTGTTGAATCGTGATATTGTACACCTGAAACTAATATAACCCTGTGTGTTAGCTATACTGGAATTAAAAACTTAAAAAAAAAAATCCAGAAATACATATTGTTTACTTTTTATTGTAAATGAGTTTTTGGAGTCATTTATTCTTAGTTCTTCTGCTTAGTAATGTATTCCTACCCTCTAGTTCTTGTTTGCTGATTTCAGGCCTGGAGAGCCCCCCTCTGACTCCACTGCCCCCCCAAATCCTACCCATCTTCCAAGACTGAAATCAGTCTCCTTTTCCTTTTCCCCACCTCCCAGTTATCTGTTCTTTCTCTCAGCTGCTGCCATGTAACTGGTTCAGCATCAACTCCTTCCATCGACCCTGCCTTTACTGCCTTTTTGGGTGGGTGCTCCTTTTTCCACTGGGACTGCTGTTGATTGGCTGACATTCAGAAACCCTGGAGTGAGGTGGTTGATTGGTGGAGTCCACTGGGGTGAAGGAGATGTGATTGGCTAGTCCTCTGAAGCACCAGGGTAAAGCTCCTGTTGATTGGCAGACTTCACTCAAGTGAGGCAGTTATTGATTGGCTGGCCTTGTGAAATTTTTATATTGATACAAGCTGGCATGAATCAATTAGAATAGGTTTGAAACCAATCAAGTGACTAGGTTCCTTGCTCTGACCAAGGAACAAACCAGTCATTTCCTAGGTGCCAAGGGAACTTCTTATCGTCACCTGACCTGGAATCCTAGATTTCCTGGGTTGAATTAAGCCTGTTGAAATACACACTACACATTAGACCCTCACCCAGCCACCCACCCCAGAAGTGGATGCATGAGCACAGATTTGGGAGTTGACAGACCTGGGCTCAAATCCTGATTCTGTAATTCAGCACCTCACTTAATCCCTGTGATCCTCAGTCTCCTAAAGAATAACACCTCCCTGAAAGGTGGGGATTCTGGAGATTAAACAAGCTGACGTGTGTCAGGTACTCATCACACCCTTAGAGTTCTCATTACAACCCCACAGGTCTAATGACCCAAGGAAAGCATCCTGAGGGGTCATTTTGTGACTCAGTTCCCTCTTAGTTGTTTTTTTTCCCTCCTAAGGCCTGTCAGAAAGATTAACTGTAAAAACCTGATGCTCAGACCTCACTCCTCAAGATTCGGATATAATTGATCTGTGGTAGAGCCCAGGCACCATGTTTGTTTGAGCTCCCACAGGATGTTCAGTGTGCATGGAATCATACCCTGCCCAGCCAGCTCCTTACTTAACTACTCTTCACACGGTGAAATCACACAGGAAATTAATAGATGGCTTTGATGGGTCTTACGTGATGGGCTCGTCATGTTAAAAACTCTCTTGAAAACTGTGTAATTAAGAAACAAAGCTGGTATTCAAATGGAATAGTCTCTGAGCCCCATTCCTATTTCTGCTCTCATTATTATTAGAAAAAGAAAAACTGCCTTTATGATTTTGAAAATTCTAACCCTGACAGAAAGGTCAGGATAGAGAGAGAGACACATAGTATGGAGGGGAGATTTTCCAAAAGTATATAACAAAGTGGTCTACAGTTTGGAAATGAACATTGTGTACACTTGGATGTTGCATATATTATGCATAAGGTTTATTAAATATTTCCTCCTTCCCGAAGGGTTTGATGTCTCTAAATTTGGAAGTTAATTCAAGAAACAGGAGAACATGTTTTATTTATAAGTTTCTTTAGCATCTAGTAAAAAGTGTCATGTCATTTAAAAATGGTATTCATGCTTCTGTGGAGTCAAGTGCGTTGGTTCCCTCTGTAATCCTGAAGTCATCCCTCTAAAGTAATGAGAAGTTCTCTCTGTCAGAGAGGAAGAGGGTTTTAGTTAAGAGTCTTTCCATTATTCCTTCCTTCCAAGTTTTAAGGAAACCTAGTCAGGTGAAGGACTGAATATTGAATGGTTCTCCTGGAAAAAATACTGGGCCATCTTGTGCCTAAAAAGTCTGGAGCTGCTGAAGCAGTTAACTATATTCATTTTAGTGATATGCCTTTGCTATATATTACTTCCAGAACTGACGTAACTAGATGTATAATATACCATTATTTCTTGTTTTAATAAGCTTTTTATTTGGGGATGACTTCATATATGGTTCACTCTTGGCGTTGCGTCTTTTATGGGTCTTGACAAATGTATAGTGACGTATCCACTATTAAAGTATCATACAGAGTAGTGTCACTACTTTAAAAACCGAATGCTCCACGTATTCATCCCACCCTCCTTCCTCACCCATTTGGGCTCAAGTCTAAAGATAAGAAGGAAAAGTGGGAGTTTATCGCTGAGGAGTAAGGTAGGCAGTCGATGAGCAGACAAGTACTAAAGGAAACGTCAGAGGTAAAGGAGGGATTCTGACTAAACTGACCTGGCAGGATTCTTCCTGAAGGCAGGCAAGGCAATCTGTCCATCTGTCGGGCATTACCTGGGTGAGTGTGGAGGATTCTAGCTAAACCAGCATAGCAGGATTCTTGTTAAAATTGGGACGTGTTGGGACAAACACGGAAGTACAAATATCTTGCACATCTTGCACGAGGCCTTGTGTGGAAAGAGGATTCAGAGGAGCCTGACTGAAGTTTGGTCTAGGAGAGGGTCTTTGGGAGATCGAGACAATAGATGGCCTTTTCTTTTTTTTTTTTTTTTAAGTTTATTTATTATTATTTTTTAGAGTGAGTTGGGGAGGGCCAGAGAGGGAGAGAGAGAATCCCAAGCAGCCTCTGCCCCATCAGTGCAGAGCCCTACTCGGGGCTCAGTCTCACAAACCATGAGATCGTGACCTCAGCCGAAATTAAGAGTCGGACGTTCAACTGACTGAACCACCCTGGTGTGCTGAGAGTAGGTGGGCCTTTATAGAATGGCTTCTTTACTTAGTAACGTTCATTTAAGGTTCCTCCGTGCCTTTTCATGGCTTGATAGCTCATTTCTTTTAATCACTGAGTAATAGTCCATTACCTGGATATACCACAGTTTATCCATCCACCTCCCTCAGGACGTCTTGATCACTTCCAAATTTTGCCAATTATGAGTGAAGCTGCTAGAAACACCCGTGTATGGGTTTCAAGAATAGTTTTATTTGTGTAGAAAAGTTGCAACGATAGTACAAAGCATTCCCATATACCCTTTACTCCATTTTCCCTAGTGTAGCACCTCACACAACCAGGGTGTGTTTGTCAAAACTAAGATTAACATTGGTATGTTACTGTTGACTCGACTTCATTCAGATTTCACCATCGTTCCTACTAATTTCCTTTTTGTGTTTTAGGAGCCAGTCCAGGATGCCACATTGCTTTCAGCTTTAATTTATAAGAACAGTTTGGGTGTGCATGTTCATTTAATATGTTCATAAAATTCAGCGTATCTTGAGAAAGTGGATGTAAACATATTAGCTACAAGGAGCTGCTGTTACTTAATCAAGTGAACGCATTTAATTATGGCATTGTTATTTAGAATTTTTTGAAAGTTTGTTTTTGCTTCTGGCAGAGCACGCAGATTTCTCAATGTACAAAATCAGGGTTTGTTTTATTAGGGTTGCTGTTTCTAAACAAAATACCAAAGCTTGTTGAAAGAAGGTCATTTTAAGGTTATTCCAAGACCCAGGAGGAAACTGGTTGCCAAGTAGTAATAAAAGCTGTCAGTGCATAATTTCTCAAGTTGATGCACAGGACGAAGTGTTTGGTTGGTTCTCTAATGAGCATCTCCAAATGTTTTGCTGGCAGAAGGACTCCATGAAAGATGACAGAGGAAGTTATTGTGATAGCAAAGTGGGACTACACTGCCCAACAGGACCAGGAGCTGGACATCAAGAAAAACGAGCGTCTGTGGCTGCTGGATGACTCCAAGACGTGGTGGCGCGTGAGGAACGCGGCCAACAGGACGGGCTACGTGCCGTCCAACTACGTGGAGAGGAAGAACAGCCTGAAGAAGGGTTCCCTCGTGAAGACCCTGAAGGACACGCTAGGTGAGTGCATCTGTGCGTTAGGTCCCACCCCATCGCTGCACTACTTCCCGTGGGGGGGGGGGGGGGGGGGGGGGGAGGTGAGGAAGCTTTGTGCTTTTGGAGGGGAGCGTGTCCCATCTTTTTAGTTCGTGTGTTTTGTTTTGTTAAAAAAAAAAAAAGAGGTCTGTTTTAAAGTTGGCCTCTTTCTTGCTGTCTTTATTTTTTTTTAATAATAATGTTTTTATTTATTTTTGAGAGAGAGAGACAGAGCACGAGAGGGGGAGGGGCAGAGAGAGAGGGAGGCAGGCTCCAGGCTCTGAGCTGTCAGCACAGAGCCGGACGTGGGTCTCGATCGAACTCGCGAACCACAGGATCATGACCTGAGCCAAAGTCGGACGCTCGACTGAGCCACCCAGGTGCCCCTAGTTGTCTTTTTTTTTTTCTTTTCAATCTCTGTAAATAAAGAGATCAAGATGGAGAAATACCATGTTTGTTATTTCCTGGAGACTTCGGAGTCCAGAATCGTGTCTGGGTTTTGGGGACCCCCCACATGTGTTTCCATCTCCTGGCATCAATATTCTAGAGGTTCCTGAAATGGAATTCCCTCCTCCAAAATGTCCGCAGCTCTGCCTGTGTCATCCCATCAGGTCTCTTCTCTCTTACATGATCCTGCCCGTGCTGCCTTCATGCATAGTGTGGGAAGGAACAGAAAGCGCTCTGAACCGGGTGGGGTTTTCTCCCCCCCTCTGCTCTATTGATGACGTTTCATAGAAACCACAGTCCTGGTAGCGTTCACTAATGTGGCCGTGGGTGAGCACCCGGGTGATGTCCGAGGCCGTCTGCAGGGACCGTGGGGAGCTCAGCCCGGTTGGCTCAGAACCTGGTTTTCTTCCCACGTGCCCAGTATCCCGACGTGGGACAGGCCGCCTTGAATCCCCTGAAGTTAAGGTTGTCCACTCTTGCCCTTGTGTGCAAATCTGATGTACTTGAAGTAGTTACTCCTTCGTGGTAACTCTGAGGGCTTTGCTGGAGAACCATGAGCTGAGCCCCCACGTACTAAATCTAGTGTCGCCTCCTTCTAGGAGTATAATGTGGGTCGTACCTGAGACTACTGGATATCACTTAAGAGTTTGCTCTGAAATAAGCCAGTATTCTCGCCATGTTGCGTATACTGGAGCGTTTGCTTTTTATTTCTAACAGGAGGGTTTGTTTCAGGTAGGGTCGGAGGGAAGCAGGTGGGGAACTGGGAAGAAAATTACACACCGAGTGTAGTGGGCGTGGCAAAATATTCATCTTGAGTTTCATGCAATCTTGAAAAGTCTCCTGAGTCTTTCTTCAGACCCATTTATTTATTTATTTTTAATTTTTTTTTTTTAATTGTTTTTATCTATTTTTGAGACAGAGAGAGACAGAGCATGAGCGGGGTTGGGGCAGAGAGAGAGGGAGACACAGACTCTGAAGCAGGCTCCAGGCTCTGAGCTGTCAGCACAGAGCCCGACATGTGGCTCAAACTCACAGATCATGAGATCATGACCTGAGCCGAAGTCGGACACTTAACCGACTGAGCCACCCAGGCCAGTCACCCATCTTCAGACCCATTTAAAGCCTTCATTTATTGGGTAGTGTTTCTGTGTTAGGGCTTAGGTTGTTTCCATGATTTGGAAAGAGAAATGAGACACCGGCCTGAGTATGAGTCACACGACCTCTCCTAGGTTCAGAGCGCCTTATGCAGAAATTTCTTTTTGCACAAGCAGTTTCATTCTTTCTCCACTAACCTGATACCCCTTTAATTTTTTTTTTTTTTCTCCAAGCAAGTCGCTTGAAAGGAACGTTGTGGTCCTATACTTATAACTCTTAATGAACTATGGTAGAAATGCAATTAGCATGAGTAGATAAATACCAGGGCCTAATTTTATTTATTTATTTTTCCAATTTCAGCCTCTGCCTCACCAAAGTACCTTTTTTGGGAGATGCTAAACATCGTTGCCTTGTTTTGTTTTATTGCCTATCCATTTTTTAAAAATACAGTCTCAATATTGTAGTAAAGAATGATGTACGCAGAAACTGAACGAGTTGCTCAGAAGAGAAATAGGACAAAGCAAGCACCCCGAACCATCTAGAAGTTCCCTTGCATACCTTGTCATTGTTCTTTTTCTCCTTCACTTGGCAGGAGAAAAGCCAAAGGCCCAAGGTGAAACCCTCAGCCAGATGTCTCACTCAGTGTCTACTCCTTCACCAGCTGTGATCCGCCTTGTGCGCCCGGGGGGGGGACCGCAGGCTCTCTGCATTAGTGGAGCCTCGCGCAATCGGCCCCTCCCAGTGCTGGGTGCTGGGTGCTGGGCCGCTGCCCCGCCCCTGCCAGATGGCCACCCAGCTCTGCCAGAACACTTCTACCTCGACAGTCAGCCAATTCCATTTTTGGAGAACACAGATTGCTCGAAAGCTCTTCCTTAAATAGAATCAAAGTTTGCTTTTCTTTAACTTTCTCCCCTTGGCTCCCGTTGTGCCCTCGAGAGCCGCCTGAGAGAGCCGCCTGAGTAACGTGTGCTCCTCTCCTAGAAGATGACCGCCCCGCCTCCAGGCCTCAGTCACAGTGCAGGCATGCATGCATCTGCCTGGAAACGTTTAGGCTAAGCATATCACACGTTGTAAAAACACAAGTGAGATTCTGTTTTTGACATCCGTATCTGTGGAGAAATGCCCCCCTTGTTTCTTTGTATCTTTCTGTTTCGTGTTCACCATATTCCCCCGAAGCCTTGCTCCTGCTGCCCGGAGAGAGACCTTGGTGTTCCAGTGTGAGTTTTCCATTGCCCACTTGAGCAGCATCAAAGGGAAGGATCACAGTGGAGTGACTTCTCAGTTCCCCGCAGCCGGGCTCGACAAGGCATCGTTGTCAACCAGGAAGGTCAGAAAACATCCCGCAGCCCGTCCTGCCTCCCCCTGGCCCCTGTAGCTAAAGAATTGGAGCCAAGTGTTCGTGGCTCCCTGTTTAAATTCTTGTCTCCAGCGCGCTCTCACAATTACTGTATGATTCTAGCCGATCATGCGGCCGGCAGAATTTCTCTGCACTGCCTGTTAGAAGGAGTGAAAATAACATGTGTTGACCTTCCAGTAGCTACTCCTGGAGTCATCCACATTTGTCATTTTTACTGCTGTAGAAGTCCACCTGATTCCTCAGTCCACAGTAAGATTTTCCTGGCAGGTGCCTGGTTTGGAATAAAATAGCACCGGACTCCCCCAGCAAAGTCCCAGTGTTATAAATGTGCGTACACGTCTCTGGTTGCAGAGAAATGTAACTCTGTAAGAGTCCTCTTCTACTTTCTTATACTCACTTGCTGTGTTGAGGTCCGTGGGGAATTCAATTTAATCACACGCACGACTTGGTTAGAGTAACTTCTAGAAAGCAGTACCTCTGACAAAAAGATCTCTGTTGGGAAAGGATTAACATTCTTTCTTTTCCTTTCATAATTTATAATCAAATCAAACAATATGAGCTCTTATTTGCACATGAGCAAAACATTTATATACTGGATCTCCTCTTGTATTTAACTTATGATCATGAATAGTCAGAGAACTTTTCCACAGATGACAAGGGGCAATTGTTAAGAACCCTTTCTGCTGGCAGAGCCCAGTTGATATTTTGAAGGGCTCAGACTGTGCAGCTCTTTGCTCAGCAGTTGAGGAGCGTTCCTGGTCTACAGTCTGGCCTTGACATTGCAGCCTAGCTTATTAAATTACGCGGGTTAGGTGTTTTAAAGCACTGTGCTAAATCTTTTGAGATGGGGAAGCTGCTTCCAGGGAGGTATTTTTCAAAGATTTTCCTTCAGACTACTGAAGAACGATTTTTGTTACCACTTCGTGACAGCAGCTGGGATCCAGCAAAGCCCCAAAGGTTAATGCTGTTCTCAGTTGTTCCCTTAAGTCTACGTGCTGACTTGGGTTCTGCAGAGCTATGCAGTTCCCTTTATAACCTATTAGTAACCTTCTCAGGAGGGTTTGTTCCAAGGCACACATGTCCATTGCTGACCACCTCCCTAGGTATCTGGAGCTAGAGGTGACCCACCCCCTGTCAGGGTTGCTCCTTTATAGCATTTGTCTCAATGTGACCATACCTAAGGCCGTTTAGCAACCTGCCAGTGATTAGCCCCAGGACTCCCGCCTCAGATTCCAAGCTAGACCTTGGGAGCAGAGAGAGACTCCCAGTGCTAAGTGGCTATACAACAGCCCCTGTTTCCTTTTGAGCTAATGCTTTAAGATGAGGAGGGGGTGGTTCCTATGGGTGAAATTCACAAGGCTCTTAGAGGCATAGCCAGTCTGGGATTGACTTTGGGGTGGCTAAGTGACTTCCCCAGGAACACACTACTAGTGCCAGTGTGGGACTTCACCTCAAACTTGAGGTTTTTTTACTATAGCAAGTTGAATATATGGACTTAGCAGGTGGGCATTTGATAAGATTCTGTTGCAGAGACAGGCAGTTAGAATGTTAGGGGAGATTTTACTGATACCAAGTCCTTTATTTTAGAGATGAAAAATTACTAGCAAAACTTGAGCTGGGTCAGGGAGTTGGGCAGTAATAATATATTGATGTGAATTTCCTGATTTGGTGGTTATATTGTGGTTGTAGAGGAAAATGTCCTTGTTTAAGTGTTAGAACATCGTGTAGGTAGGAAAGTGGCTCTCAGATGGCTCAGGGAAAACAATATTTTTGCACGGTTGTAACTTTACGTTAGAACAAACAGACAGACATGAGTGGTTGAGGGACCACCCCAAGGCTCTAAAGTTGGCTTATAGCAGAGGAGATATAACTTGGGGTCCCCCCACTTTGCCTGGGCACCTACAGTGCCTTAAATTTGGTATATCGCTGAACACCTGCTGACATTGGGCCAAAAACATGAGAGTAACATCAGACGCAAACGTGTCCTACTGATTATTCATGGGAATGGTTTCTCACAGTACTTAATCTGGAGCCTTCTGTAATTATCCAGAGTTCTCTCCTTATCACTAGCTTGCAAGTGAGGAAA